AATGAACGAGTGAGTTGAAGCTGTTCGGCATGAGTGAAATGTTTGAAAACGCTAGAGTGGCACACTCTAGCAGCTGAACATTCCGTCCATAGACTTCCATTATAAATTTGAAAATCTGTAAAAATTGTTTAAAAGTTTGAAGCTTCACTGAAGCAAAACTGTAAAAGTTAGCTGAAAGCCGAGTTAAACAGTAATAGCAGGAAGATACGGAAACATTTTAAAAGTTGAATGGTGTTTCTAGCTGAAAGTATGCTGAAGTAGTTAAAGGGCAAAGTAGCTGAAGATTTAGCTGAATTTTGCTGAAATCTAAGAATTCTACATGCATTTCAATGGGACAAAAAAAACGCAGAAAAAGCTGAATATCGCGAAAACTACAAAAAATATCTTTACCAAAAGACATAGCAGAATTCTCCTGAACAAGCTGAACGTTTTGATACCAAAATTGTTGAAATCAGTTGAAAACTGCGGGACTAGTTAGAGTCGGAAAAATTAAAAGTGAAAAACAATAAGTGGGAATGCATAAGCATTCCCACTTGATAATAAAGAGAAACAGAAAAACAATAAGTGGGAATGCATAAGCATTCCCACTTGATAATGAGTAGAGGGTGCTCTGGTTGCCAGTTCTTCTAAACGTTATTAGCAAAACAAAGATCAGGGGATCTGTCTTCATTTTATGCCCAAAAGAAAAAGGATAATTTTAAATGCATGTTTTTTTCTATACTTTTTGTGTATACTGATTTAAATAGGTTACAAAAATCTAAAAAATTGTATAAATACATCATAATGAGTCTGAATAGAGAAGCGTCGATGAGATCAATGTTCCACTTGGGAGTAAAGTTTGTTATATAAAACTGTAAGTCAATGAATAAATGCAAGGTTTCCTTTGGCATAGAGTTATAAACCAATCTGATTCAATTTGAACTGACTTTGTGAAGTGTTATGTGTTGTGAATTGATGCCATAAAAATGAAATGATTTGTTTTTCCATTGGAGGGTGTAAATGTTTATTTGGAATTTGGCAGCATTTAGTGGGTCTGAACCAGTCCTAGGACATTTGCACAAACTGATATACCTAAAATCTTTAAGGAACAATTTTCAGTAAGATGGGGAAAAAAAAGTTCAACATTGTCCCCTTTCTGATTAAATAAATGCTTGACTCCTCATGGACAATGTCCTTTCTCCTCCAAGTCAAAAGCTAGATAAGTCATGAATATAAAGTAACTGGGTTTTAAAGGATGACAAAAACTCTTAATAAATGTAACTATGAAGTTCGTTACTGTGTCAGAACAACTATATCATTGTTAAATTTTGTATGATGAAGTAAAGTAATTTTGAACATTATAAAAAAAGGCCATTTTCACCAAAACATTATTTAAGCTATCACCAGCTGCCATTGTTTGTAAAAATGTGTTGTAAAACACCTATTAAGATAAGAATACTCTTCGACTTGACCATAATGGATAGGGTTACTGTGAATTGCCTGTAGCATACACAACGACAAAAGTCTACTTTTAGCCCAATTGTTTCTGTACCTTTGAAATTTAGTCTGCATTTTTTTCCTGATATGACAAAGACTGTAAATTCTAAAAAAAAATACAAAACTTGCTCTGGAGTGGCACAGCATGGGAATTTCTTTCTGATGTAAGTTGGTGTAAGTGTTTTAGATGTTAGGTTATATCTAGATAAGAGTAGCCTTAAAATCAATGCAAAGATCACAAAGCTCATAATTCCAAACGTCAAAAACAAGTACTGCTTTTAAACCAGCAAAGCGACTGAAATTATTTTCTCTGGGTTATGTCACAATATTCAGCCAACACCAAGCTCATTCAAAAAACAGTGCACTCAAACAACAAGAGGTGGTACCAATGAGGCAAAGTCACATAAGGAATATATATATATATATATATATATATATATATATATATATATATATATATATATATATATATATATATATATATATATATATATATATATATATATATATATAATATTGACAAAGACAACGTGAATTTGGTGTTAGTTTTCCTCTAAGGTAAACCATGAAGAACCTGTATAAATCAGCAACTCAAGCAGGAGAATCTGTCCACGGTTAAGCTGAACAGAATGTTATTGGTGAAAAAGAGACAAAATATAGGGAACAACTTGTTCGTTTTTGAAGAGGAAAAAAAATAAAAAATCAACCCTAAAATAGTGCCAACTGAGACATGCAATCCTCCAAAGATGGCCGCCTTCCTTGATGTATATTCTTGGTTCACTGTAAATATGAAGCCTCTGCCGCTTTAACCAACCTATGTTAAAGGAAATAGGTATCAAATAGAGCAGTAAGGTGATCTACTACAGAGAACATTTCTCTGTGCGGGGCACATACAGTTTCATACATTCCATTACTTTCAAAGCTATAAATATCCATTGACTTTGAATCTTTGCACAAACTCAACACTTGCTGAACCAATGGTAAGCTTGAAGTTGCTAAAAGTCAAACTGATGATCCTAGTGTGCCTAGAAGTTTATTTCTCTAAGACTTTGTACCTAAATAGGAAAAAAAAAATCAAATAATTGATTTGATTACAATAGCTTGAAGGCAACAATACTTTCATCCATTTTTAGGTTAAGTTTGTAGGAAGATTTTGCTATTTGAATGACAGCTAGGCCTGCAACAGAGCAAAGGTCAGCATTGGCTGGAAGTTCAGAATTCTTTAGCTGCAACCCACAACACAAGCAGAACTGTCCATATACAGTTATTGGCAGCAGTACTGCAAGTCCCAATACAGATACAGTATGTGGACATCCCAAACGTATTATTATGATGCCAAAAAGATGACATGGCAATAAAAAATGTTTTTTTTTTTTTTTTTTTTTTTTTTTTAATGTTACTAACATGCTATCATTCCTTTCTGACCTGAAATCTCCAGAAATTTTTTGGGTAATAATTTTTGTGGTTGTCTTTGGAAATGTTAATAATGAAAATTTAATCTATTGTATGTTTGGTTCTGACATCAAAAGAAGGGAAAACACATTTAATAAATGGGCGTTGCTACATTTGCAAGCTTTAAAAAATATCAGTGTGCTTTAAGCAAACTAAATATTTCAGTTAGGAAAACCTTATATTTGAAATATTTTAAAATGTAGAATACTTCAACTAGATCAACACATTCAGATAGATATAGTTAAACACTTCAAAGTTGAACATTTAGGGATTATTTTTACTAAATCAAAAATACAGCATGTACATTCTCATAAATCTAGTTAAAACTTCGGGCAGTTTTCTTTAATGGCATTTAAAACAACCAGGCAGTATTACCAATTTAATGTAATATCTGTTGGGAGCTTGCCTACATTTAGTTAATTAACCATAGAATTCTGCTAAACAGGGTAGTGGTAGATTCAGGGAAAGCATATCTGTGGATGCAGCTAAACTTTTAAATATGTACATTTTAGCATGATATCCTACAGATCAGGAAAGGAGATTCAGGTAAAGCAGCCACTGACAAATAGACTTGAGGAAAGTGTCAAAGTAGCATGATGTATTACTTCACTGTAACTGGAAATTGTTCTTGTAAAATACATCCTAAGACTGTAGGTCATAGGACAAACTCCAAGGTCATTTAGCCTACATGTTGTTAACTATGATAGGCTACCTTAGCCTTAGGTTCAAACCTGAAAACGTAACATGCTGTGGAAGGCTATATTTACCAGCTCTATTGCTGCCTCGTTTGGAACCTCTGAAAGTCTTGGGTTCAAGTTTAGCTGACTTCAGCTGCATATAGTGACCTACATAAACTTGGAGCCATGCAAGACATGACATGGCAACTAACAACTTTGCATGTCTTCCATCTAAAACATCCTGAGGTGTTATTCTTAATCTTTGCATTTTTAAAATGACCTAAATTAGAGCCACATAAAATATTGTGGTTCTGAGTGTTACACAAGCTAAATATAGCACCATGTCCTCATACATTTTTGAACAAAATATAACTTGGTACTGTTCAGCATAAATTTGGCACCTGCAAATCTTTAACACATAATTCATCTACGCCTTTTTTAACCCCTCCCCTCCACCTCAACTTGCAGTCTTATCTGAAGGATTCACACACCCACAAAACTTTATCATCTCCAACACTTGGCCAAACCAAACAAGACTGTTATTGCTTTCAATAAAATATGTGCTCTTAGTTGTAATTTCTTATTTACAATCTGTAAATGATTAAGGTACAGAAAAAAATAACACATCAAATGGGAAACTTTGTTTGACAAACAAAAAAAGACTGAAAACGATGTTTTTTATTAATCATGTGCTCAATAAATTGCATTATTAAATCATTGTCCTTCTCTAGTAAGTCGTGAAAATACTCATACAATCTTGTTCTCTAAGTCCCTGGTCATTTGTATGGCAAGAGTCAAATGGATACAGTGGGGACAAATGGACTGAGGTGGCGCAATGTATTGTGGGGACAGGGAGGCTAGTGACGCAAGCAGATTCCCTGCCTCCATCCATGCGGATGGACAAGCATCAAGCATCACCCCGCTGCCATACATCATTAACCCCCAATTAGTCTCGAATACACAGGATATCCCAGAGTTTTCATAGCCCCTTTTCACCACACTGCTGGGATGTCAAAGGCTGTTACATCTCCACATTCAAGATGTAGGGAGGTTCTTAGCTAGAACAATTGTGTGCGCCGATGAGACTCCATTTTACCGTGGCGCATTTTCGAATACTGCACTTCATATCTAACTTGCTGTTGCTGAGAGAAGCTCCAGGGTTTTAGTTGAGATGAGAACCAAGATGACAGTGTCCTTACTTACAGATGCATCTAATGAAGGCATTCGTCCAGTGTCTTGTAGACGAATGATGGTTTTACTGATCTCCACTTCAATATCTACATTTATATAAATGCAACTTTAAAAGCAAAAGCAGAAGGTTGAGTACGGATCGATTTGACAAGTTTTAGTATCAAAATACCCAAACTTTCTTGCGACACAAATTCCATTACTTACCATTTGTCCAGGTCTGCTTTGATGCCGGTGCATGCTGCAGGAACTGGGGCCTCTGCAGGGGCAGCCGCGGTCTCCGAGTCCGACATGTCTGTGAGTTCTGGTGCTATGTGGTGCCAAAGCTACACTTTCAATCTTGCTCCAGTCGTTTGGACACCTATGGATCCCAGTGCCAATGGTAAGAGAGAGAGAGAGATAGATAGAGGGAGAGAAAGTGCTACAGTGGAGGCGAGAGGGAGTTGGTGAGAGGGAGTGCAGGACGAGGTGGGAGGAGATATAACATGTGAGGGAATGACACATGTGTACATAGTAGTCAAGCTTGAAAGGGCTGCAATCCAAAGTCTAAAACACAAAACTAGGAATGGAAAAAAAGGGCAGAATTTGGGAATCTTCATACATAGGCCGAAAACCAGAGCCATCTCATGTAATATAAGGAATATTGAAAGGACAATGGTCAACGCATCTGTTTTTATTTGTTTTGGGGAAATATTTTGTCAGATCCTGTTGTCCATACGAGAACTTAGGCACAGTCTTAATTTTCTAAAACACTGTTTTTGGTTTAAGGTTACAACTATACGTAAAAAAAAAAAGAGATAATCTGTGTAACATTGTGATAGTGATAGAAATATGAACATGTCCAAGTGAGTGAGAGTTTGCTTTTATGTGTCCAGGCAGGACTGGCTCAGACCCACTGAATGCTGCCATCTGATGGCATTTTTATTGAACTGATTAATGCATCTGCCTTTATCACAATCACCATCTGCATAATGTCCAAAAAATGTATAATATATATATATATATATATATATATATATATATATATATATATATATATATATATATATATATATATATATATATATATATATATATATATATATATATATATATATATATATATATATATTTATATATATATATATATATATATACTGGTCCAGGTGAAACTTCTTTATTGTATGAAGGTTATAATCAGAGGAAACAAATTGGACCTTTGCAGAAATGGATTATTTAAATCTGTTGGTATGGAGAGCAAAAGGTTTTTAACATACAATCTCCTTAATTACACTGCAAATATTACAGATTATCTGCATTGTAATCGTAAGACTTTTTTTTTGGAAAAGAGCTTAATAGTTTACATACTGATAATTGAAGGAGACTTAACATGAACTGGAAAAATTATAAGAACAACAACTGTAAAATTTATATTTTTTGGTAACAGCAAATAGCACCTTGAAATGTGAAGAAGTCTTGGGAAACTATTCTGTTTTAGAATAACATTAACTTTTTAAGTCTTTTCCCAATTAAATTTATTTATTATATTATGTGAAAAAGGGATTAAAAACAGTTTAGCTTTTAATATCTGCCAGCGACATTTAGGATAAGCCACTGGATAGAGGGCAATGGAGGTCTATGACTAAAATTCATGTTCCTATGTGATTGTTAACGTCACACGTAATAAAAAAAAAAAACCTGCTGGAACTGGTTTCAGCAGCTCCCTCAATCCTGCTTCATTCATTATCCACAAAGAAATTGTCTCAAAATTACATTAGCATCAGATGTAAACCAATTAGCCTGCTGTATAGCCCCCGCTCAAACTCTTTGCTCCTTTTACCAAAAATAGTGCCTTATAATTACTATGGTTTTAAAATGAACTTAGTACATGCCTTTTCCCCCAAAAATGTTTATAGATGTCTGAAAATGTATAAACATTCTAAACACTTTGGATTTCCATAAAGTTTTTTTTTTTTTTTTTGTGGAACAAGAAAATGCTTTGCTTAAAGCAAAGATAAGCCATTTCCAAAACCTAATTTGAGTCAATCTGGAGCAAGATAAGACAGAATGCTATATACCTTATAGTGCAGGACGCAGAATTTGAACAGAGCTGATAACCCTAGACGGGATGTTTAGGTCAACACACAGCTGGAACAGTCTCTCTCTGTCCAGAAGAGACTTTCTTAAGGAGGACTTTGAAATACAACAATTGCTCTGGGATTGTTTTCTCTCGGATTTTCTGAGAGTTCATGTGAGTGTGTGCTAGCGTGCACATTTGGCTTTTTCTGGGAGCAGAAAGGAAATTGCGGGATAGAGGGGGAGGTGGGTGCTAGAGCGGTAAGGGACCAAATTCTTTTTAGAAGAGCTGAGGGCAAAACAGCAGCAGGCTAAAAAAGAAAACACTCCCAGGTGAAATTCCATGAGGGATAAACAGAGATTAAATGAAAAAGGAAGGAGGACAAACACATGTGTAACATTTAGGGCAGGCTCTGCTGAGCTGCAGAAAGCCTTCAAGCCTTAGGCCATAATTTAGAAAAACAGATTCAATCATCCTCACATTGTTTTTTCTCCACTTAAGCCTTCAATACCTGAGGCTCCTTGCTGACTCCTTCATTGTTATAAGTGTTGGTATATAAACCCTAATTTGTGTCCTGTAAGAAGCTCTAACATCAGTTTAACAGTTTACCTCTCAATAAGAAATCACGTTTTGAGCAAAATCTGGAAGTAAAAAAGTAAAAAAATTAAGTATCCATAAATATAATTAACATAATAACAGGTAGTATGTCCAAAGCCATGTGCTAGCTTATGTGTTAGAACATAGTAAGTATATTGTGTGGTAGAGACTTATGCCTTTAAAAGGGGTTGAAAGCAAATGGCCATATATAGCACACATGTGAACTCTTCTTGAAGGACACAGAGGACTCACCGCATGAGGAACATATAGAAATGTTCCAGATAGGGGGGGTTAATCAGTAACTTTCGTTCTACTCAAAGCCAAATTCAAACATTCAACAATCTTTAAAAACCCCTTTACTGGTTTTATGGTCTAAAGTCAGAAGATTGGAATCTTTCATCATAGGTAGACTTCAATTATGGACAAAATGAGAAAAATAAAAATATATAAATAAAAGAAACTAAAGTTTTGTACATTTTTATAGGAAAAGTGGTAGTGAGACCAGATTGGGGTGTCAGCTGGTCCAGGAACCCCGGTGGACAGGGGAAGGGAGCCAGATGGGGAGGGAGCAAACATACCCGACCCAGTGACGGTGTGCTTCCACCAACCTGCACAGGGCCACCAGTGTCCAGGCTACCATCACTGCAAGGGTGTAACTTTGTAATAATGGTTAGTGGGAAGACTTGGCTGGTGGCCCTTGGAAATACAGTTACACTTTTGTTAGGCTAATTTTCCTTTGAGCTTAATCATCTATTTTTTTGAATGCTTTCCTATTTTTGAGAACACAAGACCACAACACACTGATAACTATATTTATAGATGTTGGAGAGGTGCCTTTAAGGCCCTGTCCACACAAAGTCAAACCCTGGCCTAAACGCACAAATTTCTCATCTCTCATCCATATGAAGCCGGCCTTTCGGGGATCTGTAAACAATCTTTTTTTTATTAAGCCTTCAGAGTGGGAAGAGTTTGAAACGCCGTTTTCACGTTTCCATCTTTAAGCTCTAACCGCATTTTTTTTCTTACACGCATGCGTCATAGCGTCGCCTCTAAACACGCATGCGCGACACAGTATCACAACAACAATGGCGCCGTACAGTGTTGAATGGTTGCTGCTCATGCTACTCACCCTGCTGTCGGGCTTACAACAGAATCTTCTTCTTCTGGAATATCTCCAGGAAGAACAGAGCAATATCCACGACATAGTTCAGCACCTGAATTTGACTGAACCACGAAAATGGACCCGCAGGGCAACCATGTATAAATATTACTGCGCATGCCCAACGTTTCGTTGCCTGTTCTCGGCTATTTTTGCTTTGGCACCACAGCGCCACTTACAGGCCTGGCATACATTTTGCAGCGTTTTCATGCATTCATACGTCTCCGTCTTTACGACAAACGTTCTGGAAAATATTAGCGTTTCATGTTCGTTTTGACTTCGTGTGGCCTTAGTGCATTACAAATATAGGGCCCAAACACATCAATGCATGAAAAAAATAATTGATAAGAGCTGATTCCAATGCCAAAATTGACGAATCCCTAGAAGTACAATTTCAATTCCATCCAAAAAAAAGTGGATATGATGCATTTTAAATATAGCATGGCATATTTTTTTCTTCTAAACTTTGTTGTAAACTTGGAGATGTATTTTATTGCATGTTGCATATCCCAGTAAATCTGTTTCACCTTTAAATCTGCGGCTCTCCCCGCTTCTCTCTGTGCTCTGTTTAAAAAGATTTATAAACCTCTTTACTAATATAATAATGATAGAAACAAAATTTTAAGATATGTAGAAGCTCTGCAGTCTGATCCTGTCTGTATAAGACAAAAAACATGTTAATTTTAACATGTAACTGGGAGTCATGGTCCTCGGAGAAGCCAAAAATGTTTAACTAGTAAAAAAGAACAAACTATGTTCTCTAAAGCTTCTTGCGTTATAACACTAACTTGTTTAAACATACAATCTGTTGCCATTTTTAGCTGAAAAAACTCTGCATGTCTAACAAATGGATTTTTTTGGTGGCATCTCTAACTTTTTTTAACCAACCCATCTCCTAACTTTTACTTAAACATCAAAGCAGCTGCTGGTTAATATTCACTGAGTGCTGCTGTGTGTCTCTCCTCCAACCATATAGCTACTCTCTAAGCAGTGAAATGCGACCGCAAATCAGATGTCTCAAAGCGACAGAACTGATGATGTTAGACAGAGATGCGGGACACAGGAGCAGTGGGAAAGAGGAAAAAACCCCACAGCGCTCTGAACACAGATGGTTGCACCCAACTCTGTCACCTCCGCTGGCTCCCTGCCCCCATCCACCGGGGTTCCTGGACCAGCCCGGAGCTGACGGCTTGTTTCTAGTGTCCGGTGTGTTTCGACTACGTGCTACACTTTTTTAGGTATTAAAAATGTAGGACATGTCTTGGAGAAAGAGGATGTCTGCTCACCCTAGTAATTGTTCAACCAAAACAAGCAAGGTTTCTGGCCCTCATAGACTTGTACTAATTTTTAAGAAGCTCTTCTGTCCTTTTTTCATAAGCTGTATTAATGGCACCAGTTTGAACTGGTTATTTTGATAAAAGACACCACAGCCTTAGAATGCCAGAGAAACTAAACCATGGCCAAGACCAAAAGGCTATCAAAGAACACAGGAAGAAAACTTTACACATACAGCAGGCTGGGAAGAGTGCATCTACAATATTTAAGTGGGTTGGTGAGATTAAATCAACTGTGGGAGGAATTGGGAATTGGG